CAGTACAGGCTTGGAAACTCTGGAGTAGTGGCTGCATTGTACTGAGAGGAAGTTTGGTGATTTGGAAGTTGCAGATGTCGAGTTGAATGGGTGAAGGGTCCAGGAAGTGTGTTGGCATTGATCATGGAAGCACCTTGTGCAGAATAGATATTTCTATGTCAAGAGAGGCCTGCTGGCTGACCCAGCCATTCCCCAAATGGTAATGGACACTGACCAGACAAGTCACCAGGTACCTGCTCCGTTTTACCACCCAGGTTTCTGTACCATCGAGTTTCTCTAGTACAAAGCGGAAAATGGAAAGTATGATGTCTTTATGGCAAGTTGGGCTATTAGTGAGCTGCTAATGCACGGAAATAAGCTCTCATCGCCTGAAGGCAAGATTCTGAACTTGCTATCTGAGGTGTGAGGATTAAATCTAAACATCTTTTCTTGATGTCAAGGATCTGATTTTTGCTTAAATTATCTTACTTGCCATCATTCTTGCCACATCAGAGGTAAAAATTCCATCTAATGATTAGGAAACCAGGAGGGATCTTAGGCCTACAGAATTCAGGGCCACTGTGCACTCCGTCATATTTACAGAGTGACCTACAATGTCAACCAATGGAAAGTTGAATTGGAAACTTATGTAAAACTTGAAAGCCTGATTTTGACTTGAAATCCTGCCTTCCTGTTTCTGGCCCACTTTGAAACCACATTAGGTGGGTTGATGACTGAAACAGAACAAGTGACTTATTTGCCACAACGTCTGGCCTGCAACTGCCCCACTCTTGCCTGAAACTGGGATAATGGTCCTGAACAAATTGTTTGAGCTGCAGGCTCACAAGCCTCTGGGTTCTGATGGACTTCATCCTCGACTGTTAACAGAAACAGTGAGTGAGATAGTCGTTGCATTTAATGTTTCGTGGGCCGTGGGCAATTGCCTGGATTTGTGGAAAGTTCCATTAGATTAGGAGGCAGTGAATAACTTATTTATTCAAAAAGAAAGGAGGTCGGGAAGCAGAAAACTACAGACCATTTAATTTAACAACAGCCACAGGGAAAATGTTAGAAGTTATTATTAGAGATTTTATAGCAGGGCACTTCAAAAAAAATCAAGGTAATCAGGCAGAGTCAACATGGTTTTGTTGGAGTTCTATGAAGATGCAGCATGAGCTGTGGTTGCAGAACAAGAGCCAGAGATATACAATACTTAGATTTCCAGAAATTGTTTGATAAGGTTACTGCGGGAAATATAGTCTCATGGTGTAGAGGGTAACATATTTGTATGGAGAGATGATTACTAGCTACCAGGAAATAGAGAGTAGATGTAAATAGGTTATTTACTTGTTGGCAAGATGTAATGAATTGTGTGACACAGCAATCAGGCTGGAGACTCAACTTTTTACAATACAGCTTAGTTGAACGGACCAGCTGAATGTCTGCTAAATTTGCTGATGGCACAAAGATAGGTAGGAAAGTAAATTCTGAAGGTAGCAAGTAGGAGGTGGTACAGTGCTATAGATTGTTTGAGTGAGTGGGCAAAGATCCAGCAGGTGGAGTATAATGTGGGAAATGTAAAATTGCCCATTTTGACATGAAGAATATAAAAAGCATGTTATTTAAGTGGTGAGACAATGCAGAGTTCTGAGATGCAGAGGGATCTGCGTATCCTAATACATTAATAACAAAAGGCTCGTCTGCATTGTGCAAGAAGTAATTAGGAACGCAAATAGAATTTTTTCACTTATTTTGAGGGAAATTGAATATTGAAATAGGGGGACTTATGCTTCAGTTATACATGAGATTGGTGAGTACACACCTGGGTTACTGTGTGCTGTATTTGTCTCCTATTTTAAAGAAGGATGTAAATGTTGGAAATGTTATCAAAGAAGGTTTACTCAACTGACATCTGGAATAGGTGAATTGTCTTATGAGGAGAGGTTAGACAGACAAGGCTTGTGTCTGCTGGAGTTCAGAAGAGTAAGAGGTGACTTGATTGAAATAAGAAAAAGATTCTGAACGATCATGATGTAGAGAGGATATTTCCTCATGTAGGAGGATCTAGAAGTAGAGGCCACCATTTAAAATTAAGCAGTCACCACTTAAAAAAATGATGAGGAAAAACTTGTTCTCAAGAAGTGTCTGAGTCTTTGGAATTCTCTTCCTGAAAAGGTGGTGGAAGCAAAGTCTTTGAATATTTTTAAGCAAAGTAGATAGATTCTTGTTCAGCAGAGAGGTGAAAGATTATTGTGGGTAGGCAGGAATGTGGAGTTGAGGTTACAATAGATTAGCCACGATCTTATTCAATGGTGGAGCCACCTCAAAGTGCCAAATGGCCTAATCCTGCTCCTAACCTGTATGCTTGTACAAAAGCCGGAAAATGAATATGCCACATGTTTATCGGGACTTGAGAAAAGGATGCCAAATGTATCAGGTGAAATCACACTTTCCTTCTCTCAATGCTGAAAGACTCCTTTCCTCTTACGATCTTGCCTGAAGGAATTCCCATGCTGACCAATTTACTCAGTGCAAATAAAATAGCAGCTGTCAGAAAGACAGTTTGGGGAAAAGGAATGTAGAAAAACAGTTCTGTCAGGCTCGGGGAAAACATTGAATAGCAGCAGGAAATAATATAGAAAAAACAAACAGATATTCACAAATCAACATATAAAGTTAGTTACAGGAAAAAAATGTACACAGAAATAACCTGATCAGAAATAAATTGGCCTGCTGTGTTCATCCAGCTCTTTACCTTGTTATCTCAGATTCTCCAGCATCTGCAGTTCCTACTATCTCAGAAATAAAGCTGTTGATTTTTGTTTTGCATTCATTAATTATCCCTCAAAAACTGAATTACAAAGTTCTCTGATAAAATCTATAAGCAGAGTGCAGCTGGGGTGTGATTCTCCAGCTGTTTTCCATGCTTGCTATAGCGAGCTTTTCATCACTTTACGTATCCAACAGAAGTATTAACACAAGGTTCACCTTTAATCAGCTGAGTCACGTTCAAAGGCTTTCACTGGGGAGGCGCTACTGAGAATTGGACTAGTACTGGACATCATGCTTTGTGAAAACAGATGTGAACATTTATTATTTATTTGACGGTCTTTATTTATTTCTTACAAAACTGGTTTGTTGAATAAACCTGAAATGTTTGAATTTTGATTGATTGGCTTGTCTTTTATTAATTTAAGTGAGTGCATATTTTACCAGAAGGTGATAAGGGAAAAATAAAACTGCACATTTAAGGAATCTCATCATAAAACAGACTGCTGTTGTGTCCGTCTTATATCAAAGAAATACCTGCCATGAATATATAAATAAATATTAATACTTGTACACGGCATCAAATTAAAATTCTGAGCACGGAAATGATCAAATAGGTGTGGCCACAGATTTTTATTGGCACTCCTACAGTCTAATAGGTTACAATGAAATTCACTTTGGCTGATGGACCCAACCATTTTGCCTTCGGCTGATTAAGTTTTATGCTCTGATCTTTTACCAATCCTACTACTGCACGCTGCCTCCACCCATTTAACATTTCAGGGCTGAACTTTCACAAAAGAGGCAAGAAACAGGACTAGGAATTGCTTTGTGGTCAGAATTCCACCTCTACTAGGAAACTAAGTTAGAATTTTCACAGGGATGAACCATTGATTGATATGAGGTGTTTTCTTGTGCAAATGGGGTCAGTGGGAGTGGTAAGGAAGACCAAACAGAAGAATTGTAGGGCTGATTTAGATTATACATAGCAGCCATCACTGGGCTGCTGCTCCTAAGGTAAAAAAAAATCTGCTTTTAATTCTGATTTTAATCTTAACATTATCTTCTTTGGCTCAATATCTATTTCCTCTGTGAAACACTTCAGGGTACGTTCTACATTAAAGAAGTGATATAAATGCACTTTATTGTTATTGTTGAACATTGTTGCTGTGCAATACAATGCAGGAATGTAATTGTGAGCTATTATTGCCCTAGTCGATGATTCCCTAGGGAGTTGTGATTCATAAATAATTTCACCTTTTTGTCATGGCCCACACAGTTTCTTTGTAATTATCTGGATATAACATTCTATAAGTAATGGACTTTTGAATCCCTGATATTACGGGCATTATTTAATGTCAAAATGAGTGCAATCCCCAGCTATTTTTGAAACTGTATGATCCTTTGAACAAAATCCATTGTAATTATTTTTCTTGGCTATTAGTCTTCCCATTGTTGAGAAAGAGCCACTCACCGCTATTTTTCTGCCTTATTCTTTGTTGTGCTTGCCAAAATGATAAAATGATGAACTCCCAATTGGAAAATGATTATTGTAAATGCATAGGAAACAGAAAAATCATACTCTGATTATCTGATCCCAAATGCACAACATTTAAGGACTATCTGGGGGATATTTTCAGTTGCTGTTATTTGAGTGCAGATCAGGAATTAGCAATGATATAAAAATCTGTAGGAATCTATCACTTAAGATGTTTATTTATTCCTGGCCAGGCTTTATAACAGATCTGAGCTAATCTTGCCAAAACAATGAATTTCAGTTTAATATTTTATTTTATTATAATGACTTGTGTTTGAGTACATGTATAATTTTTCATCATCCTCACCAATAATGTGCTGACATTTGCATTTATCTATATAAAAAATATAACCTGAAAATCAGGCTCCTTCAACATTCAAGAGAAACTCAGAACTCTGTAAATGTCTTTAGATGCTTCACAGAGGCAGAACTGTCTCGAAAATAATGACTGAAGGCATGGTCAGGCATTTACAGCAGCTTATGTAAGTAGAAAGAGAGAAAGAGAAAGGTAAATAGGATTTGGGGGAGAGTTCAAGAGTGTAGAGTCCAGATGTTTGGAGAGTGTCTCTGAGGAATGCAGTGAAGGGTGATGAAAAATAGGAGAGTGTCAGAAGATTAGAGGATGTCAATTCCCATTGGTGTGCAGCTCTGGAGAAGCAGGGAGGGGTGAGGCAGTAGAGCAATTTATCAACCAGGAAAAGTAATTTTGAATTCAGGACACTTCAAGGTGGGGGAATCAATGGAGTTCTTCATGGACAGGAGTATTTGGGAAATGGAACATTACATGGATGGAATACAGGTATTTGAACAAAATGGTATTGTAGGATTTCTTTGAATTTTACTGGTGTTTGGGGATTGGTCTAATAATTCTTCGCAACTTTTGTTCTGTGTGGCTATAAAGCAGTATTTTTAGCTATTTTGAGTAATGAAATTTATATCACTGAAGCACTTAAATATGGAGTATTTCTTAAATTATTTTCATCATAAATTGAAATACATTTGAAACAAAGGTAGTATGATTTTCTTATAGACTAGAATATTTGAATGTATACTGCAGCTCAGAATAAATGCGATTAGATATTGCTAAATAGTCTTCTTTTGAAGTGTCCAAGTAAATATGTTGGCAGTACATCTGCAGCCTGTTGGAATCAATAAGGAATGAAACCTATGTCAGTAACAGCATTCTGATGATGTTGCTTGCACATGCTGTTGTAATGCAGCCATTGAATGTCACTGCAGGTTCTAAATCCTGCTTTCCTCATTTGAACTCTTTAGCACCTTCTATTTTAAGAAGTATTTGTTGTTGTTCACTCATCTTACAACAAATGTTGCACTTGAAATAAGGCAGCAAAAAAAAAATCCTGAAACCACGGATGACATTTCAATTATTGTTAATATGATAAACATGGATTTTTTTGAACCAGCTCGCTAAACTAAGCAGACTGGCCAGAATAAGTGGGAGCTTCCTCCTTTCCCAAAGAAAAGCGAAGTTATCAGACGCTGAAATTCCTATTGTTTTCCCAGAGGTTCTGTGTGGAATCTTTTTCTCGATTTTTGGCCATTGATGAAATACTCCACTGCAGTTGCCTCTTCCTTGATTTGAATTTTGCTTTACAAAAACATACCTTAGGCAGAATTTCAGGTTCACTCCACATGACAAATGTCTAACAGAGGGCTTCTATTTTTTGGATGCAGCACTGGCATAAATGGAATAGAAGATTTACTTTCGGGACAGTTGTTGAGAGTATTTTTATCTCTCTTCTGGCAGTAATGCTGTACATTCCCACGTGTGCGGCTTATTTCGGAGTTGGTCAGAGTAATGGAAGGACAAGAGGTTGATCAGCTTTCTTAGCGTCAATTGCCAAGCTTTTCACAGAATCTCTTACAGTGTGGAAGCAGGCCAGTCAGCCCATTGAGTCCACACCAACCCTCTGAACAGCATCCCACCCAACCCCTGTAACCATTTCCCATGGTTAATCTACCTAGCCTGAACATCCCTGGCCACAATGGGCAGTTTAGCATGGATAATCCACTCAACCTGCACATCTTTGGAGTGTGGGAGAAAACCCACACAGACATAGGGAGAATGTGCAAACTCCACATAGACAGTTGCCCGAGGCTGGAATTGAACCCGGGTCCCTGGTGTTGTGAGGTAGCAATGCTAACCGATATGCCACTGTGCTGCCCTCACACAGTGTTATTGTAAATGAAAAACAAATGTTTGATGTGTTGGATAGTATCATGAGTTGCACCAACAAAAATTGGTTCTATTCTCAGATTCCAGGTATTTCCCTGACCTATTTTGAAATGAGTCAATTTGCATAACTGAGAAACAGATATGGTTTAAGCAAACCACTTCACCCCATACAATGCAATCCCTTCTAAACTTGTCAGTTACTTCTCAAAATAATAGCAGCAAATTGAATCAGAATAATCTGGGAACATCTCGCATGCAACAGTTGCTTCGGGAGGTGGTAACCACATCAGGAAAGCAAGTCATACACATGAGTTATAATTATGAACTACTCTAAATTGATGAGTCATCATTTGTCACTAACGTGACAGGAGCCCATGTTGGTCAGAATTTACCCTCCATATTATATAGAGTTTCTTGGCAGCATTTGAGTTTTCTTGTAGTGCCCACTTGAAACATAGCAGCTAAATCAGTACAGCTGTAGAATCTTGTTATTTGAATCAAAATTATAGAACGATATAATGTAAGTATGTGGAAAGGCACAATCAAACAAATATTTCTCCAGGCACAACACATTTGCACTAGTAGAAATGCTCATCAATATTTTTATTGAATTGTCAGCCAATGCCTATTTTCCACCGACACTTTCACAACCATTTCTCGAACAGTTGGTTCATATTAAAGTTGAGATTTTTTATAAATGTGATTTTGGTTTCATGTTCTCTTCCATCTGGCTGGTTTCTACCTTTCTAAACGTTTGAGAATGGGTGGAGGATGTCTTCATTCTGTGTCCCACAGTTTAATTTATTTGCTATTTTAATTCTTGTAACTAATTGCTATTTCTGTGTGACTCACAATATGTCAGCATGAAGATTTTTTTTTACCTACAGTGGTTGTTGGCAAAGGTGTGTGACATTAATTTCATTGCAGGAAGTGTGCTAACTGTGAATCAGCAAGATCCCTGCTTTCTTTCTAACTGGTATACTCTGGACAGGACTTGCCTTCTCTTGCTAAAGATTAGATAACATTTTCAGCAAATACATTGCTCCATTAGTGATCAATACATTCTTAAAGTTTCCAGGCATCTCACTTTTACTGGCACTTCATAACCTAATTTCTAAATCAAGCCAAGTGCTTTAACTGAGAAAATTTACCTTAGTCTATGCCACCATTTGAATATCACAGTATTGAGAAAATTAATGTTTGCTTTTAACTAATAGAATTTGTCATTGCAATTGGGGATCTTATTTAGCCTTCAAACTAGATAATAAGATTCAGCTTTGCTGTAAAACGAATCTTTGTCTCCATATTGCGGGTCCTGACACATAATCCAGCCACTCAAGCCTTCTAAATATTTCTGACTCATGGGGTCACAGATGGGATCATCAAATCTATTTCTGTATTCTCCCAGGCTGTTGCATATAGTGTAACATTTGGTTTGAAATTTGTTACAAGGTTAAAACAGGATCGAACGATGCAAAGCATATTATAAACCACAAGAGCTAAGCTCAAATTACCAATGAATGTTGCCTAAATTACATGGTAATAGTAACACGGTAATAACTTGCCTCAACACATTGCCCCCAACATGCATAGGGAGGAGGGGAAGGTGTAGAGAAGGACAGAAATGCCCAAACAACACTGCAAGGGTCAGGATGTGAAGGTTCTGTCAAACTTAGGCGCTAGGATTTTGCTATCATTTTTGTGTTTTATTTTCCACCTGGTAGGTGAATAAATTGATGACCTTGGGAAAGGCAGCAGCAGGACGTCATAACTGGAAATACATGGGGCTGGTCCTCAGCACTCAGGAAGATGGAAGACTGTTAATCAAGGCTATAAAGCAGAGACTCTGAGGTGATTTAATTGAGGCTGGTATACAGCCAGGGTCTGTATGTGATGATTCACAGAGTCTGAGTGGGCTGCAGCCACATTAAGAGAAAAGGTAATCCATATGCTAGCTCCTGAGAGGGAAAGGTTGTAGGCAAGGTCTGCTGCAGGTAGTTCAGATGAGGCGATCTAATGAATGGAGAACCAAAATGCTGGGTACTTCGGCAGGCTTGCTAGGCAGCACCTTTCTGGTCTGGATATAATGGACAACTTGACAGTATTTATGGACCCAGCAATGTTGCAGCATCTGGGGACTGTAATCTTTGCTTCTATTGCAGTACATGCAGCAAGCACCGAAGGTGTCAGTGCTGGGTGCACTCAGACTGAGACAATGAGATCCATTCTTGCTGCCAGCACATTCAGTCAGCTGCCTTTATGGTTATAGATCTCAGTATCCAATGGGGCATACTTGCTCTCACAGCAGTATGTACAATTATTCAGCAGATTGTTATGTAGGAGCACAGGAAATCTAAGGCACAGGGAAGGTCATTCAACCTCTCATATCTGTTCCAGTAGAAAAGTGTTATTCAGCCCAGTCCCAATTGCAGCCTTGATCCATAGGCTGTCAATTACGATACTTCAAACATTTCTAAAATGTAATTGGGGTTTCTGCCTGTATCATCCTTCCGGTGTGAGTTGTAGAGCCCACTACCTTCTGGCTGAGATATTTATTTTCCAATCCCTCTAATCTTTCCTCCATTACCTTAAATCCATGCACTCTGGTTATTAGTATCTCTGTTAGTAGAAATAATAGAACTTAAGAACAGGAGTAGGCAATTTAGCCACTTGAGCCTGTTTTGCCATTCGATGAGATCATAGTTGATTTACGGCCTAACTCCATATGGGCCTTTTATTATCTTTGCTTTATAAAAATATATCCGTCTCAGATTTGAAAAGTAACAACTAATCCAGCATCCACTGTTATTTGTGGAAGTGATTTCCAAACAGCTTCCGCTCTTTGTGTATAAAAGTGCTTTCTAACATCTATGCTGAACAGTCTGGCTGCACTTCTCAGACTCTACTCTCTAGTTCTAGAACTATGCCCCCACCCCCAGTATCCTCCCACACCCTTTATCATTTTTGACACCTGAATTAAATCTGTCCTAATCTCCAAAACTTCACAGAAAGCAATCCTCCAGCCTATCCAGTCTTTCCTCATGGATAAAATTCTCCATTGCTGACAACATCTGTGTAAGACTTCTCTGTACATTTATAGGTGTGTTAACCCAAACTGTACATAGTTTTCTAGTTGTGGCTGAATGAGTATTTTGTGCAATTCTAGCATATCCTCATTGAGCCCATGCTGACCCTCCTCAAATTACTTGATATATTCCTATCTCACTTAAAAAAAAACACAGCACACATGAGAAATCCGCCAGTCCTTGAAGCCTCCCTTTAGCTAGAGAGGGTTGGAAAGTGGCGATCAGTGGTTCCACAAATTCTTCCCTTGCTTCTAGAAACAATTTGGAATTTATTTCACCTGGACTAGAATTGCTGAGGTGGCAAGCCAGAGAGCAGAACGAGCAGTGTCCCTGCACACCATTGTGTCCTCTCTGTCACTCCAGCTGTACCTCTGCTAATAGCCCCTCAGCCAGTCAGCCAGGACTGCTGTGGTCCTTGTTGAGGTGGTGCAATCCAAACCAGGACTACCACAGCCCTAAGCTGCTCAAAGTCGTTCTGCAAGGCCATCTGCAGTTTCCTACAGTGAATGTCAACAGACTTCCAGCAGTCATGCTGCAGTCATGAGGATAGCCCTGATTTGGAACACAAAGAAGAGACTGTGGCCAAGGAGAGAGAAAATACAGACAGGAAGGAAAGAAGTAAGTTCCATACAGGAAAAGCAGGCTGAAATTACAGGTCTACCACAGCAAAACTTATGAATGTTGGGAAAAAGGTAAAAGTGCTTGTAGAACTGTGAAGTTGGAAGTTGAGAAGTGATATTTCCAGAGCGGATGGGAAGTCAGTATAAGAAATGATGTTTTTTTAAACTTGGTTGTGAAGTTGTGGTCCAGAGAGAGGCGGATGGATTTACTGGGTAGTTACCTTTAAGTGGCTGCAAGGTATATTATGACCTCATCAAAACTTGCTAAGCAATTGCAGCATTTTCTATTTCTATTTCAGATGCCTAGTAATTTTCTTCTGTAACAATTGTGCCTGTCTTATTAGTCAGTTTAATGTCAACTTCAAAATTAGACCTGAGAGAATAGAATGGTGTAGGTTGTGGAGGGAAGGTTCATCATTAGAGTCAGTGAAAGGGAGAAGAGAAATTGAGATTGTTGATTTGTTTCAGTTCCCAATGAAAATAATCATGAGAGAATAGAAGGAAGAACAAGAATTCTGATGCCAGCAGTAAAGGTTCTTGGCATAGGATGGATGATTCTTGGCTAAGTATGTGGGTATGAAAAGAAAGCAATGGAAGAAGGGCACAGTATCATGCTGAGCTTGAAAGTGAATGAGTTAGTGGCATAAAGGGATGAGGCTGTAGCTTTTGCTCTGGCCTGATCATTTGACTAGAGAGAAGGTCAGAGGGTGTAGTGAAAATACAGTGACAGATGAAATTGGAAAGACAGGTAGGTTCAGAGCAATGTGAACTGGCAGAAGGGTCGTAAGGGGTTTATAAGAGTTATTGAAGCTTGTGATATATGACGTCTAAAAGGAGGATTAAAGGTTTTCAGTTAAAGTGTCAGATGAGAGAGAAAATGGAAATGCAGAACAGTACAACAGGAGATATAGTGCTGGAACAGAAGTTGAGGTGTATGGTATTATACAGCTTAGAGCATGGACCCTAAGAAAGATAATTAGACTGAGGTTAGCTTCCTACCACATATCGTCTTCATTACCAATACCACCTACCTAACCATAATCACACACTATCTGCCCCTCCCCTAACTCATCTGCTTCTAGACTTCACCGTTTCTACACACTTCTGGCTGACCTCAACTTTTCACCTGATCTAAACTTGAATTCATCAAAAGTTCTGCTGCCTGTATTCTAACTCACACAAAAGGGCTCGCCATCACCCTGAATACTGGAATTCAGTCTTGTTCGACAGGGGTCAGAACCACAGAAATCTCAACCAATTTACAAAACTCAGGCTCATGGAGCTGACTGTTCACCAATGGTACCAGAAACCTCCACTGCAATGGCCACTGCACTCAATTATCTACCCTTCGGAATAATTCGGAGACTGATCCTTACGTGTCTTTTTTCCCTTTTATCTATCTAGACTCGCCTCTTATTTCTACTCTGTGTCTATGTGTGTTGCCTAATTAATAAACTACCCTTTGTTAATTCGATGAAATCTGGTTACATTGGCTCATTTTAAAACATATCTTTCTCCCAGGCCCAAACAAATGTATCTACAAGGGAAGAGATCCATTTTATATTAACCTTATTGCAACCCATTAATGTAGCAAGTGAATAAAGAAGGGGAGGCAAATCATTCTTTATCACTTGGGTGCTTAACAGTTTAGATATCCTGTCTGGAATGTGAGTTGGGAAATTTTGCCTAGGCTCTGGGTGTAACCCCCATTATCAGCCACACTTCAACCTGTTTCAGGTGTAGTTCTTTTGTACAAGTCCAGTACTAGTTCCAGCCATATACAGCTCTTTTCAGTGAGAAACTAAGTTAGAGGGTCAGATTTTGGGCTGCCCAAACATCATAAAACAAAGGCAAAACTGAAAGAAAAATAAATGGCTTCTGAATAGAGAAGCTGGAAATTCTGCCTTCTTTTTCTGCCCAACACCATTTTATGACCTGTGTGAAATGTTGTATCATGTCTTGGTTCTGAAGGAGGTCATGTTAATGTTACATTGAGCTCCATCCAGTCTGATGATGCCACACAGTCTTCGGTTGGAAACAGAGGAGTTCCACACAAATTCCAAATTTAGCAAATGTTTTCAGCACAACTTCTGAGAGTCTTTAGGAATTCTTCCCAGCAAATTAATGTGAACAGTACATGTTGCTGTCCTGTAATAAACTACCTTAATGTGTATGATAATTGACTATTCTTTTTAGACTCACCAGTGATTTATCTTCCACCACTGATAATTAGATGGACCCTAGACTTAGCTTTGAGAAAGAAAGACTGGTGGCAGTGATTCAGCAACTGAGGGAGGGTGGCCAGTGGTAATCAACAGGAGGTTTCATTGCTCAAGTCTGACTTGATGCAATGAGACTTCATAGGGTCTAGAGTCAATGTTGAGGAGTCCCAGGACAACCACTTCCCTATATATATTAATACATTGCCACCCCATTACATCTGAGCTACTGGTGGAGAGGACATACACATAGATGGAAGTGACTGGGACATTGTCTATTAGGATGTGATTCTATGAATATGAATGGTATTGTTATAATGTAAAGTCATCTTGACCTGAAACATTGACCCTGTTTCTCTCCACAGATATTGTCTTACCTGCTGAGCGCTTTCAGCATTTTCTGGCTACATCCCAATGATGCTGAATTAAAGCTCCTGACCAGAGAAGAGATGGGTTGGAATTTTATTGGTGGGTGTATGTCCCAATGTCAGGGCTATATGTGAGCCCTGAGCCCACTATCACTTCTATCTGTGGTCATCAGCATCAGTAGATGGAGCAATTCACGTGCAGCCGCTAAGTCACTGTGTTGTTTTTAGATATCTTTAATCAACCTGTTCCGATACGATGTGACACATTTCTGGGGCAGGCACGTCTTGAACCAGGACCTTCTAACCTAGAGTTAGGGACTACCACTGTACCACAAGAGCCCTTGGAGTGTTGATTTTAAACTTGCATCCCTCAGCAAAGTAACAAACATTATGAATAAATGTAAAGAAGGTCACCAGGGCCAAAGAAATGCAAGTACATTAGGGAGAGGCCCTTGGGAGAAACCTTTAAGGTGCTGATGGTGAACTTTGTATGAATGTTTTCACCATATTTTAACAGATCCTATGCAATTTACTGTCTTTTACCCAACACTGATTTCATTGTGCTGGAAATTGGCCTGACTGTACTTTATAGTCCCTCTGCTTTTGCTTATCAACTGTTGCTTGATCTTGTGGCTTGCAACTTTTTGAAATGCTTTGCAGGTGCACAAATGGGTCACGGTGGCCACGTTTATTGACAGCGTCCTACCTCCTATTTGGGAAAACACACTCTGGCTAAGGAGTGCAGGATTCATTGGGCTTATTCTAATCAGAATGTTTCACTTACAGTTATCCAACAGATCAGTCATGTTTAACTAGTATACTTTTTTTAGAGATGCAATCAAGATGTTAAAGATGACATTTTCAAGCGTATGTCCACTAATGCAATTTCTGATTGTATGAAAATAACAACTTTCAGAAAGATTTTCAATTAATTATTGCAATTTGTTTTCTGTTTAAATGGGATATGGGCTCCCCACTTCTATCAACATAATTTGGCCTTTAAATTCTGTAGCTCTCAACATGTATACCGACCCTGAACCAGACCTCTATACAGACTAATCAGTGTGTGTTGTGATACCGCCTTTTTATTTGCTATATTCAGTTAAAATTCAAGCTTCAATGTATAAGTTATATTTATACATGACCAAGTTTATTTTTCTAAACGTGTCTGCTAGCTTCTAATTAACATAAAATGCAGTTAGACCCTACAATGAGAGGGTAATTATGCATCACCTGCCAGCTAAAGGAAAATTTAAGCTGAAGAGTCATGCCAGCGTGAATTGCAGAAGTTTTTTTGAACAATGTTGTGTTTGCACATGCTTGGATGGAGTTGAAACCTTGCCATGGGTGGGGAAAGGAAGGGTGTGAACTGCACAAATGTAAAATCTAATCACTACTGCAGCTGTCGGCAATCCTTCTCATTGGTAAACCATGCAAACCGCATGGTATTCATTGTTATAAACCAGCCCAACAAAATGCTCACAAGCAGCTTTCCCAATACAAAGCAGTGAATAACACACTGATCCATGGAAAAGCATTCCTGCAGCACAAGAGGCAGAATGAAATAAATGTTCTCTGTTTGATCTTTGAAGTTAAGAATACAAGACACTCACATCTGAAGATTTAATGTAATTATTTGAAATTGCCTCGCTGCTATTTTAGTTAAGGCATTAAATACCTCTTGCTAAATTATAGAAAGAATTCAAGGTGAATGTGTCAATAATGTTTTCCATTTCTCACCCGCTTTTGGGGCCTTTATCTACTTGTATGTGTTCTTATATCGTTTGGATATGATAGTGAATTTTGCTTTGTACTCAACCATAGAGAGGAATGATTTCTGCTGGTCATTGTAGCGGTGATTCCACAATGTATCATTTCCAGTGTGCAGCTGCTCTCACAGGAAGCACCTTGCAGTCAATGCTTCTTCATGCATCAAAAGTAATGGACACAAAATCACAAATTGCTTACACAATTACAGTTGTGAAGTGCTTTGTGGAATCCCCTCACTGTGTTATCAAGAAAAACAGAGCAGGAACGTTTCCTGCAATTGGTAATTCAAGCAAATTGACAGCGTCAATCTGAAAGGAACAGGATTATGAATCTGCTTAAAATAACCACCAGAGGGAAGTTTCCTGCAGTGTTTATAATAGTATGAATATATTATAACCAGATGTATTAAAGTTACACCAGTTTGAATATAACAAAGCAGTAACTAATACAACCTAAGGAAGGAAAATTTACTCAGTCTGTAGGATAATCATCACCTCTTTTCACACAGTTGTAAACCCTTCATGTTCAGGTCAAGCTAAGAGTTAATAGTACTAACAGAACTTTAGGTTAGGTACAGCATGACTCAGCATGGTTTCTCCACATTCCAGTATGTTCTAATCACACCCTTGACCTCACCCACCGCAACCTACAATATCGGCATATTTGTTGTGTAAACACTTTTAAAGATATTTGCACTGAATTTTGGGAGTTTTCAGGCAGACAACACCTGTCATGGCAGATGAAGTTTAATCAGTACTTGGAACTGAAGATTGCTTCCTGATTCCTGCACGGTTTGCCACATACTGTTATCACCGGTACAGATGAGAAGAGAACATATTAACCAAATTGCTATGATGAAATGAATTAACAAGTCAGATGGCTTCTTTTCCAGATGCTTTTAAAATGGTTTACGCCAAATCTTATTCGTGGCTTGTCTTTGAAAGGTGACCAAAAGTGAAAGGTCAAGTTCAGTGGTATAATTGTAGCTGTCAGAGACAACACGGTATGGAGCTGGAGGAACACAGCAGACCAAGCAGCAGCAGAGGAGCAGGAAAGTTGACGTTTCGAGTCAGGGCCCTTCTTCAGAAATGGACATGACCCAAAACGTCAGCTTTCCTGCTCCTCTGCTGCTGCTTGGTCTGCTGTGTTCCTCCAGCTCCATACTGTGTTGTCTCTAACTCCAGCATCTGCAGTTCTTCCTATCTCTCATAACTGTAGCTGTGTTTTCCTTCCACTGTGCTAAAGAGAGCTTGTGCAAAAATGAAACGTATGAAGTGAATCACAAATACATTTTGAGACAAAGTGAAAGTGAATCTGTTCCAGTGATAGCCATGATGATTGCTTACTGTGATTTAGGTATTTCCTAGAGGTTTAACTATATGACTTCATGCTGTGACATTACATCATCACCTGTGACTCCTCAGATACTGAAGGAGTCAATGTGCAAATACAGCAAGACCTGGGCAAGTAGCATGGGCATCACACAAGTGTCAGGCAATGACCATCTCCAATAAGAGAGAAGCTAACCCATTGCCCCTTGACATTCAACAGTGTTACCATCACTGAATCCTCCACTATCAACATCCTGGGGTCACAACTGACCAGAAATTAAACTGGGCTAGCTATATAAACAGAGTGGCTGTAACAGCAGGTCGGAGGCTCGGAATCCTGCTGTGGGTAATGCATCTCCTGACTCTCCAAAGTCTGTCTACCATCTACAAGGCACAAGTCAGGAGTGTGATACTTCCGACTTGCCTGGATGGGTGCAGCTCCAACAACATTCAAGAGGCTTGGCAACGTCCAGGACAAAGCAGCCTGCTTGATTGGCGCCACATCCACAAACATTCATTCCCTATAGCACCGACACTTAACAGCAGCAGTGTGTAATATCATAATGATCCATTGTAGAAATTCGCCAAAGCTCCTTAACAGCACTTCCAAACATCATGCCCACAGGACAGGGCCACAGATATGTAGGAACATCATCAACTGCATGGGCCTGTCCAAGCCACTCACCATTCTGACTTGGAAATACATTGCCATTCCTTCACTGTAGCTGGCTCAGAATTAAATAATTCCTCTGTAATGGCATTACGGGTGTGCCTACAGCACATGGACTGCATCAGTTCAAGAAGGCAGCTCATCACCACCTTCTCAAGGGCTACTAAGGATGGCCAATAAATGCTGGACCAGCCAGCTACATCCACATGCCATGAGTGAATAAGAAAAATGGTTAACTGAAATGGCTGAGTAGATCAAATAGGGATAGGCATGAAATGCTGGCCTTTCCAGTGTTGCCCATTCCTCATAAAAAATAAAGGGAAAAGAAAAAGCACAAGTAACAAAATTGAAATCCAGACAATAAAGTGGGATTTCTTTATTAGGCCACACAGTAAAAAATCCTCCCATATCACTGCTATTCTGGAGACATGTGTAAGAGTCAGCATAGAACTAAACAAATCTTGGATCTAGCTTGTTTTTCAATCTAATATAAATGGAGTTCTCAGGTACAGCCACTTCAGATTGATTCAGAGCTAGTAGAATACCATCATCCCAGTACCTAAGAAAGTACATGCAACATGCCTTAATGACTACTGCCCAGTAGCTCTGATGTCCATGATCATGTAGTACTTCGACAGACTAGTCATGGCCCACATCAAGTCTAGTCCCCCAGCCTGCCTTGATCCCCTACAATTTGCCTACTGACATAGCAGGTTCTGCAGCCGACGCCACTTCCCTAGCCCTGCACTCATCCCTGGAACATCTGCACAACAAGGACACCTATGTCAGACTCCTGCTGATCGACTACAGCTCTTCTTCAACACCACTATCTCCTACAGACTGATCTCAAAACCCCAAGACCCTAGGTCTTGGCTCCACCCTCTGCAACTGGATCCTCAGCTTTCTGACCCATGGGCCACAATCAGTGAGGATAGGTAACTATACCTCCTCCACAATAGCACCCAAAACTGGAGACCCCTGGAGATGCATCCTCTGCCCCCTACTGTACTCCCTGCACACCCACGACTTTGTTGCCAAATTCTGAATGAATGCCATCTACAAGTTCGCTGATGATACCACCTGGTAGGACAGATATCAAACAACGATGAATCAGAATACAGAAATGAGATGGGGGCTTGGTGACATGGTGCAATGATAACAACCTCTCTCTCAATGTCAGCAGAACTAAAAAACTGATCATTGATGTCAGAAAGAAAGGAGAACATGCCCCCATCTACATCAGCGGAGCTGAGGTTGAGAGGGTTGACAGCATCACATTCCTAGGAGTGATGATAACTGACAACCTGTCCTGAACTTCCCACCTTTGTGCAATGGTCAAGAAGGCACAGCATTGCCTGTTTTTCAGGTGGCTCAGTAAATTTGGCATGTCCATAAGGACACTCACCAACTTTTACAGATAGATCATAGAAAACATACTGTCCGTGGCGTGGTATGGCAACTGCTCTGCCCAGGACCATAAGAAACTACAGAAGGTGATGTGCATAGCACAAAACTATCACAGAAGCCAACCTTCCATCCATGGACTCCATTTCCGCCTTTCGTTGCC